TATTTTATTTTGGAAAAAAATGAGATGTACAGCATAAAATAGCTCAAATTACTATGCATTTATAAAACCACTAAAATTTACTTTTTCAAGGGGAAATATTTTTAAAGGCAGTATAGAAAAGTGATTTCATCACGCCTATAGTAAAATCCTGTTTTCACCATTTACTATCAGTGTGACCTTGAGTAGTTCAATAACCTCCTTCAATTTCCTCATCTTTATAGTGGGGAAAATGTAATGCTCCCAACAAACCTATTGATCTGCAGAACTGCCCTAACATTTATTTATTTACTTATCAATATAAATACATATTACATACTACGTATGAATATATATTATATAAAATATATTCCATAACATCAAATTGTTAGAAAATTATATAAGTAGTAGCAAAGAGTTCAATGTATGTCAAGAGCCTGAGCCTACTGAGGCTCTATAATGGTTACTGAGATGAATAATAATTTAAAAATTTAAGAAAAATAAAACACTATCAGGAAAAAAATTAGTTTCTCAAAGAATATAACAGGGAGCAGTGAAAGAAAAAACCAGTACCTCAGCTCATTCTACATCATCTGTAGCAGTTTCCCAAACATCTCTGCAAACTAGATATTCATTATGGTGATTAAACATGTTGTCAAGATGCCTACAGGACTACAAAGAATCTTCCAGAAAAAAGACGTGAAAGCCACTTTTTTAACCATAACCAACTTAAACTAAGTTTTGGAATATTAATACACCAAGTCTCCCTTTCTATGGAAATACTGTTTCCCTATCTATGAGTATAAAGGCAATACAAATGAACACCAGCCATAAAATACAAACTAAACTTCTTTAAATCTCTTAATTGTAGCTATGAACTTTAATAAACAGCTTTTACTCAAGACATATATTTTGATCCTTATCAAAATTCTGGGCTGGGAGTCTATCTCAATAATATTTTTAAATTACCCCAAGTACAACCCTTACAACACACAAAAATCGCAATACAATAGACAAGTCTAATCACACTATGAATTAGTGAACTTTTATAACAAAGCCAAACCCAGGTCAGAAGAATCCATTTGATTCAAGTGAAAAGTTTAACCAACCTAATTTATCATAAGGTCGAGGACACAGACCCCTATTTTAAAGACCTGCTAATTTAGGAAGAAATTAATCAACATAAACAAAATAACAACAAATCACTATGTCAATTTTTTCTACTACATTAGAATATGCACAATGTTCAGTTTGGTTGTTAAAGGAAGTTAATTTAAACACCTTTTAAAATAACAAAAACACAGACATATTCCAGGAACTATATTCAGGTTGGTATACACAACCCAGTGTTGGGATTACAACTATACAAAGACTGATTTTACAACATACTCCAAAGCTTCTGTATCCAGCAGTAAGTCTTACTCTAACTCTCCTAAAAGCAGTCATTACAGAGACCTATTCCGATGATGTCATTTTTGCTGAACACTTTAGAAGCCTGGAGCTCGCTTTTGTCAAATATGCTTAATTGTAGCAAATTTTAAATTCTCTGAGAACAGCTATGATTTATGGGAAGGAACAACTGTCATTTCAGAACTACTTTTCGCAAACAGATCAAGCTAAATAAACTTCTGGTTAAAAAAAAAAGAGGGGACTGACTATAAGGTTTTTAATAAGGTTTTCTTAAAAATTATCAAAGCAAATTTAAAATGGGAATTCCAAGCTTTTGAGTAGCAATGGTATCTAGGTAATGAGTATATTCCTATACAATGTTCTCTATTGTATTAGTTCTCTAATCCCAGAACAATCCTATACTTAGCACATCTACACAAATTTCTTGTTAGTAGCTTAACTGTGGTTCTGATGTTTTTACTAGCTGCTCATGAGTGGTGAATATCACAGTACTATTACTAAACCATTAGACATTCCTCTAGCTTCAAGATACCCAACAACTACCATCATAATTAAGGAAGACTCAGAAGAAGGAATACTCAATATGATCAATATCAATTTGTAGGGTTACTCTTAAAACTTAGACACTACATTATGTGATGTATAGGGTCTTTCTTTTTTAAGTTTAATAAAGCTATACATCTGCACTCACATTAGTCTGCCTCCGGTTCAGACACACTAATAGAAACTAAATTACAGGACAGCATCACATTTATAGTATATACAAGGATAAAAGAAAAATATAAGACAGTGTAAAGCATCAAAAGCATAAAATAAAATTTTGCCAAAAAGCTTCCTTTTCATTACACTATGACTACAGAGTCCAGAGAGGCAAGACCATACAATTCATATGTTTTCCCACACAAGAAACTAACACAGTCAGTTGTTAATGGCATTTTGAAAATGTTACAGTATAATTACAAAATGACACAGGTTAATATTTAAGGAGAATCAAATCTCTTAGAATAAAATAAATATTTATAAGATTCAGTTTCTGTTTTGTTAAACATTAAAAAAAGTCTTGGAACTTAAAAGGAAACATAAAAACAAAGATGACCTAGTTAAATGAATTCCTGATACGTTTTATTATTTTAGGGGACCTTTTACCTATAAATGTTAAAGCATGTGGTTTGTGGTTTTGGTTTTCTTCCCAGTTCTAGAAATTGACTATGAATCCTTTTGTAGTATTTACTTCTCTCTTCCCATCTGACCCCCAAACCTGCTTTGGATGTCTTTTGTAAAATCTTCCAAGACGAGTGAATTCAAAGATCATGAGCTCCTGAATAAAGTGTTAAAATGACAGTATCATGCAACTATCCTAACTCTCTTTAAAGTAATGTTAGTCTTCTAGAATACCAATCTAATTCTTAGAAGCAGAAAACACAGGAAGCTCAATGTTCCAAGAAAAATTAATAATAATTGATTCATCCTGGCTACCCAGGAAATACACAGCAAGGATCTGTGTTCTGTGTAAATACTGACAACAAATCCATCTAGTAATACCCACCACCCAGGGACAAGAAAATAGAAAAAGAGGTCATGGAACAAATGCACAATGACTAAAAAGTACAGGAAGAAAACATAAATTTAGGGACAAGAAGGAATCAGAGCTTGATGAAATGCGATAGATCTGTGAGCTATAGAGACAGAAGCAGGTAGAGGTGGGAGAAGAGACCACCACTGATGGCAGTGAGTGGAATGTAGGTGGGCAGGAAGTGAAGTGGACAGGGGTGAGGGGTAAGACAGGCAGGAGCTAGAGATGAAAGGAGCTGAATTACAAGAGATAACAGCAACAAAAGCTGGGAGGTGGCAGACCGGGAAGGAAGCACACCCAAGGAAATAAAAGAGTAAAGGGCGTAGAAAGTATTTTCAATGGGAGGCTGAATCATGAAAAAGGCAAGAAGTAGACAAAATGCAAAGACACTAAACAAGAAATTACAAACAGATGAGAAAAAACGTAAAAGTGAGACCAAGTGATCAGTAGATAGGGTAGAAAGGGGGTTAAAGAAATGAAGTAAAACAGGCGTACTGAAGAAGAAAGTACTTTTTAAAAATTGTTTCTGGAATTTCACTGTATTAAATTTTAAAATCTGTTCTTCTGCACCCTGGCCGGTGTTGCTGAGTTGGTTGAGCGTTGTCCCATGCACCAAGAGGTTGCTGGTTCGATTCCAGGTCAGGGCATATGCCCAGGTTTTGGGCTCAATCGCCAGGAGGGGACATGCAGGAGGCAGCCAATCGATGTTTCTTTTGCACAGGAATGTTTCTCTCTCTCACCCTTTCCCTTCCTCTCTCTCTAAAATCAATAAAAACATATTTAAAAAATAAATAAAATTAAAAATACAACCTATATTTTGCTTTTATTTCTGTTGGGTAAAACTTGATACATAAGAATGAAAGTTTCCTCAACTTACAGAGAAGAAAATTTTTGATAAGGTCAACTGACTCAGTTGCAAAATGTAAGAAGAGCTGAAAACAGTAAAATTTACTTATGTCAGTTAATAATCTTAGCTCTAACCAACAAACTAATTTTCATAGCAACACATTAATGACCTTAATGACCAATTGCTGTATTTGTTAATTACAAAAGCTTTCTCTCTCTCTCTGTGCTTATCAGTAGCATTTGGAGAGATCCCCACTACAAAGGAAGTTTGACGGAAGTTTAAAACAAGGTTAAAACCATAACGGTTAAGATACACTGTAAATTTTCTATAGATTTTTACTACTCATGTTATTCTATTCTCCTAGGTAACTAAAAACAGAACACAGATGAACTGAAAAGTTCATCCTTCATTTCTACCTAAAAACAGCAAACAAGAAAAAAAAACATTAAACAAGAACATAAAAATAGTAAAGAACAACTGCGAAAAAGAATGGCAATTGTTCTGTTCTTGATCCTAGAAAATAACCTAGAGGGAAGAGCAACTGTACCAAAGGTCTATTTATAAAGATATAATTCTTATTTTTACACTAAAAAATAAAGTCATGAGAACTTCAATCCAAAAAATTGTGCAAGAAAAAAGGAGGCACATGCAGAGACTCAGAGTAAAGATGAATCTGAAATCGCAGACTATGACAGCAGCACATCATTATGAAGAAGCAATTTATCAACATCCTGCACTTTTACTAATTATTCAGTGAAAGTGAATTTCTAGTGGCCAATATCCCAATACATTGTTCCTATTTCTCCTATTATATCTACTAGCTCTCTATCCACAAAGAATAAAACTGATCATGAGTAGATTCCTAGCTACTGCAGTACAGGAAAATAACTCAAATATTATATGCAAAAGCAGAGGAGTTAATAACGAAAATATATGAAACATGTAAAGAAATATGCTAGCATTCTTGTCGCTCGTATTTTCAGAACTATCTTCTTTCAGCTGCTCAAAAATCCTAAATGACATGGGGGTCGCTTCTTAAAATCTGCCATGTCTTCAGGATTTTACCATTCTTCCATGAATATCTTAATAAGTCTCTTGGCCACACAGTCCATTCACAGGCATCCGACATTACTGTTTACTTCTAGAAATAGCTGCTGTTCCACAGGCTTGAGCAGACATCTTGAAGGAACAAACCTGGTTCTTTGATTTCTACTGAGGACATGCTGAAACTAGGATTCTCTCTCATATTCAAAGATAATATGGAACTCGAACTGTGCTGTTTCCAACGTAAGATGCCTTTAAAAAAAAAAAAAGTTAAAAATCAACTACATTTTAAAACACAAAACTCTAAAAAAAAAAGTGTAAATTCTCATACATTTGTCTTACATTTTGGCTAAGATGGAAAAATAAGTAATTTAATTAAAAAATTTTACTCTTTCACTTCAACTTTAAATATACTATATTCTCCCAAAAATTTAAGAGGGCATCACAGGGTACATAATAAAAATACTCCAAATAATTGACAGTTCCTAAAATTAATTTTAAAAATCAGTTGAAACTGTAAAGAAATTCTGGTGATTGACTTTTTGAATTTTACCATGGCCAGGATAGAAGATGGGCTTTGAGAAAGTACTTTCTCTATATTCATATCTTATTTGGAAATGGTATGAACAAACATGGTTTGTGCTGACCTGTAAAATGGGGTACTAAATTGATGACCTGAAAAATTTCCCACAGGCGTAAAAGTGTGAAACTACATATTATCTGGTAATAAAACTTGGTACCATTGAACCAGCTGTAGGCAAGTCATCTGACTTTGCCCCAATTTTCTTATCTATAAAATACAAGGCTGGTTCTTCTTACAGGGGCAGGCGGTTTAAAATACAGATGCCCAGACCATGCTCCCAGGGTTAGGCTAAAACATCTGTTACTTTTACAGTAAACCCTGGGTCATTCTGATATACACTTCTACTTAGAGAACCACCACACTAGAGCATGTTCAAGATCCAGTTCTACAACCCTAAAATTCATAAAACAGGATATACAGATTTCATTAAATTATCCAGCTAGATAGGCTTAAAATATGAATCAGTGTATCACCTTCCCTTTCCCTAAAACCCCCCATTTAGAGAAGAGCCTGAAATTAAGGCTAACATGCCAACTGGATAAAAACTTCAATACAGATTTTAACCCAAATTTTCCAAATTATTTTCTAGAGTATTTAAATAGAGCACGATTGCCCGGTCAGCGTGGCTCAGCGGTTGAGCATCAACCTATGATCCGGGAGATCACAGTTAAACTCCCAGTCAGGGCACATGCCTGGGTTGCAGGCTTGATCCCCAGTAGGGGGCGTGCAGGAGGCAGCTGATCAGTGGCTCTCATCATTGATATTGATATTTCTCTCTCTCTCTCTCTCCTTCTCCCTGAAATCAATAAAGATATATTAAGAAACAAACAAATAAATAAATAAAACATGATTGTGGGACAATATTCATAGCTGGTTCTATGACAGGCCATCTCAAAACATATGCTGATGTTAAAATGACAGCAGCACACGTCATTTCTTTACTGATTCAAATTATAAAACTACCCCCAAGACAAATGTCATAACCTCCTACGCAGCAGAAGTGATCTGTAACACAGAATACTATACCTGCAGAGCGTGTCTTCCCTGGCTGCTAACCAGGTTTGTGGCCCATGCTTCATTCAAAGGCACTTCCTCCTCTCCTTCCTGGGCTGTGGGTGGGGTGATGTATGTATTCTCCTATCTGCGTAATCATTTAGAGCCAGTGACTCTTTTGATGCCCAATACCCACAAAATAATAGTCAGCTCCTGACAAAGGGATACAAAACTGGAATTTCAGAGAATACCACTTTTCTTCATCTTGCTGGATTTTGTTTGTAGGCCCTTGTCTAATTCCACATGGCTTCAAAAATGACTTCACTCCAGGTTTGTTACCAAATGAACAGCATAATTTTATGGAGGTTTTTCCCCACTAAAGAAATATTACTTGGTTTGATGAGGATTCCTGTCCCCAACAGTGTACTCTACTGCCCAAGACAAGCTGAAAAAATGGATCAAGATTTCACATAACAAAGCAAATGTATAGAAGTGCACAGGAAGCTGTCAACACTCTGGTGAATTATTACCTCTAGGAGCTTAAATCTATTAAGTGTTTTAAAGAGAAAAATAGCAAGATATCAAGTGCCATTTAATGTTATTTTATTTTGCATTAGTTTTCTGACACTGAACAGTCACTGTTCTATGTCCTGATGAATTACTGATTTAGAATTCTATACTTAAAGAGTTACAAATGATACTCAGTTTTCAGATTCAAAATTCAGCTTCTGACCCAAGAGCCAGTCTGCCTGAGTTCATATTTCATGTCTCCCTACTTATTATTTTCGTTGTGATTTTTGGCAAGTAACTTAATTACATTGCTGTGCCTCAGTTTACTCATTTGAAAAATGGGATTATAATTGTACCTATTTCAAAGATTGTTGCAAAAGTCAAATAAATTAACATGTAAAGGCACCTAGGACAGTGTCTGGCACATTTTAAGCCCTACATAAATGTTAGCTATTATTATTACTTTATTTAGCTCCAAATTCCCATATTCTTTCATGTGTGTACACAATGTCTGCCCCACTAAAATAAACAACTAACATTCACAGGGCTCATCATGGGCTGCCAACTCTGTGAAGTGGGTAAGACTGGAATAGCCCTGCCCCCAATGGTTAGTGGGACCCCATGGGCCGCAAACTCTGTGGAGAGGGTAAGACTGAAGTGGCCCTGCCCCTAATGGTAAGTAGGACCTTCACTCCTGGAAAGAAGGGAGAAGATTCCAAAGTACTTTTGTTCATTTCACAAATATTTACTCAGCACCTTCCATATGCTAGGCTCTGTTCTAGGCTCTGGGGATGTGGTAATGAGTGGCAGAGAGGTCTTTGCAATCTGGAATCTTAAAGAGCACTCCATTTGAGAGCTAAGTTTTGAAGTAAGGAATGAGAAGGACTTGTCTTCCAATTCAATGAAACACAACACTGCTTATATGCCTTACAAGCAGGAGCCAATGCTGGCATTATGGGTCACTCTGGCTTTCTCACAATGACAAACATACAGAAATGGCTGCAAGGAAAAATTCAATGACTTTCCATGTACTGTACTCTAAGTATGTTCCATTGCTTATACAGCACATTAAAGGGATAGTCTCCATATTTCTGCAAACAAATAGCATATAAGAGATTTACAAACACATACGGTCAGTCAATCTTATTCTAACGGTTTTCATAATAAAAGCTGTGAAGGCCCAGCTCCTAAATTTTGTCCAAATGTAACCTATTAATGCATTGCTGTATACCCTTGTGCTTTGTCTCAACCCCCACCCCTCTTCCCCTTCTTTATTTTATCTCTAAGTGGCTACATAAAAATATCAAATATCTACCAGGAAAGTGCCTACAGATGAATGTGGTAGCAAGAATCAGTAAGTCAAGATGGGTGCAAGTATTAACTCCAAAAGAAAACACATGCATCTTTTCTTCTTACATTCTCCCATTAATGACAACTCTCCACTCATCCCCTCCCCAAAGAAAATGCCTTTAGGCAATGGAACCCTGCTATAAATATTGACTGGCAAATCATTGGACCAGTGATTTCCTCTCCAATGATGAACCTAGGCTAGAATCAGAAGACAGATAAAGTATAATATGCTCTAATCACAAATAAGACACATTTTCAAGTATTTCCCTCATCCTCTCCAGTCTTTTCAACAACTTCTACTCTCACAAGATGCAAACCATTAGATCCCACCATCACTCTCATCATTGTTATGCCTATATAAATCATTAAATTGTACCTGTGGAAACACAGTCGAAATAAACTTCTTGCTTAAGGAAGTCAAAACTGCTTCATTAAATCAAACCAAAAATTTAACTTCCTAATGCTCAAAGTACTGGACTCAACTGAATATGTTTAAGATATTTACAGGCAAACTGAAATACTAGGTAGAACCCCTGCAATGTAGATAATATAACATTCTTAACACTCATATACCCATGAATGTTAGACTTATCAACAAAGCAATAGCCAGCCCACTGTTTTTTATTTCCTTGTTTTGGTATTGGAAAATTACTCTTCCTGTTTGTCATCTGTTAATCCTTAATTAGGAAGGTGACTTAGAAACTAAATATGGAAAGAAGCCTTTCAGAAGGGCCATTAAGGCTTTCCCAACATTTACTTTTTTCCAATGTCCAAGCATAGCCTGTTCATTGGGTGACAATGGGAATTTGAATAAGTAAGAGACACAGGGCTTAGGAAATTACTGAATACTCAAAAGTTCTATGCAATTTTAAATCCATCTTCCAACTTGAAAAACACATTAATTTACTTCATGAGTCATTTTATATTGCCAACACCCTTATTTTACAAAAGCAGAAACAGAAGTAGTAATTAATGTAAATATTCCACATTTGGGTACATTCAAATCAAATATGTGTATTCAAATATTTTTGAGCAACCAATCCTTATGCAAAAAGTTATCCTGGAAGATTGACTGTGATAAAGCATGTAGACCACTTGGCGCAGGCCTGGCAAACAATCAGTACTCAACACTGCCCATTAATACTGTTCCTAATTTTCCAACTTTTTAGTTAAACTAAATGGCTGTAAATTACATGTGATTATGCATATATAATACATATAAGCTAACATGCATTAATACTATAAATAAAGCCAGTATGTTAGTGTACCAAGTAACACTCTTCATCTACACAAAGGTGAGTTTAACTGTAACAAAATGATCCACAGAGAAGAGAAAACTTCCTAAGGGGTAGTGTGAAATATTAGCTCTTATCTCTGCTTATCAATTAAGGATACAACCTCTACATGATTTAACGTGGATTTTAATTAGCAGTCCGGCGATCCTAGAGAACTAGCTCAAAATGAAGAGTTAAGACCTCAAGCATGTGGACAAGTGGCCATTTATTCGCAAGGCTCCACCAACCACTGAAACCTAATAACTTCAATGCTAATACTGGAACCTACATATTCATTACCTGTCTCATACTGGAAAATATATTTTTCAAGTCCCTATACAATTTTTTTTAAATACCTGAAAGTCACTTAAACTGTCACTATTACAGTATCCAGTTTTTTAAAGAACTTCAAAAGTCTCGGCCACGCATCATTTACCATAGGGAAAATGGAAAGACAGTTTGGAGAGCATATGCTTTCTTAAATGTTGAGGTAAATATTAAAAGTAACCCTACGCCCTTATTACGAAAAAAGAAAATCTTCGTGTTTCCCAGCCTGCTCTCCATTCGCGGGACAATGCACATTCCCCCCTCCCACGCCCAGTCACACCCGGGGTGCGCCGAAGTGGGGCGGGAAGCGGCACAGAACTCCCGGGTAACGACCTGTCCCCGCTACTTCCACGCTAAATCCACGTGGACTTCCCGGCGGGGGCAG